TAGTCTTGTGCTTAATAAAAATAAGCTTAGACAAACTAGAACTGCTTATTTCTCAGCATTAATTGAGGAGAATAAGCATAATCTAAATTTCTTTTCAGTACAGTTGCTAAACGTACACCATCATAGCTCTGAGCCATCTATTCCCTTAGCCCTCAGCAGCAATGACTTCATGGGATTTTTTACAAGTAAAATTAAATCCATTAGAAACAAAATCTTTAGCATCCTCCCTAATGCGATTTCTTCTTCCTCGGTAAGTGAGGCAGCATCAGAGGTGACTGTAGAACCTCATCTGTGCTTGAACCGTTATGATCCAGTTGAGCTTTCAGATTTATCAAAAATATTAGCTTCATCTAAACCTTCAACTTGCATTTTGGATCCAATCCCAACCAAATTATTTAAAGAAGCATTTCCTTTGGTTACTGCCCCCATTCTGGATATAATCAATCTATCTTTAGTAAATGGATATGTGCCACAGGATTTTAAGGTTGCTGTAATCAAACCTTCACTTAAGAAGCCTTCTCTGGATCCAGATGACCCAATGAATTATAGACCAATATCTAACCATCCATTTTTATCCAAAGTCCTGGAGAAAATAGTGGCCATCCAAGTATGTGAGCATTTAAACACTAATGCTCTGTTTGAGGAATTTCAGTCTGGTTTTAGAGAGTATCACAGCACTGAAACTGCGTTAGTGAGAGTTACAAATTATATTCTCATGGCCTCAGACAAGAATCTTGTGTCTGTTCTAGTCTTGTTAGATGTCAGTGCTGCCTTTGACACAGTTGATCACAATGTTCTTTTAGAAAGACTTGAACATGTTGTAGGGATCAAAGGAACGGCGCTAGGCTGGTTTAAATCCTACCTGTCTGACAAATTTCATTTTGTAAATGTACATGACAAATCGTCTTCATACTCCAAGGTTACTTGTGGAGTACCACAGGGTTCAGTGCTTGGACCAATTCTTTTTACTTGGTAAATGCTCCCAATTGGTAAAATCATTAGACAGCATGGGATAAACTTCCACTGTTATGCTGACGATACTCAGTTATATTTATCCATTAACCCTGATGAACCTAATCGGTTGGGTAGATTACAGGCTTTTCTTGAGGACATACAAAATTGGATGACTCTAAACTTTTTCCTTTAAATCAAGACAAGACGGAAGTTCTCGTCTTTGGACCAGAAATCCAGAAAAGGAAATTGCTTAGTCAATCACCTGACCTGAATGGCATTACATTAATCTCTGAGAACAAAGTAAGGAACCTTGGTGTTATCTTTGACCAGGACATGTCATTCAAATCCCAGGTTAAACAGGTTTGAAGGATTTCCTTTTTCCACCTTCGTAATATTGCTAAGATTAGAAGCATCGTTTCCAGGAGTGATGCTGAAAATCTAGTTCATGCATTTATTACATCAAGACAGGATTACTGTAATTCATTACTCTCAGGAAGTCCACAGAATGTAGTTAAAAGTCTTCAGCTTGTCCAAAATGCTGCAGCTAGAGTTCTGATGAGAATTAAAAAGAGAGATCATATCCCTCCTGTCTTAGCTTCCCTACATTGGCTACCTGTTAAATGCAGAATAGATTTTAAGATCCTTCTTCTCACATATAAAGCTCTTAATAATCAAGCTCCATCATACATTAGTGATCTGATTGTTCCATACGTTCTTAACCGAGCACTTCACTCAGACTGCAGGTTTACTGGTGGTTCCCAGAATATCTAAAATTAGGATGGGAGGCAGATCTTTTAGTTATCAGGCTCCTTTCCCGTGGAACCAACTCCCAGTCTTAGACCATGAGGCAGACACCTTGTCTACTTTTAAGAATAGGCTTTAAACATTTTTATTTGATAGGGCCTATAGTTAAAATCTGATGTTAGCCTAGATCTGGACAAGTGGGGGAATAGAGGGAGGTGAAGTGTACAGTTGGTAAAGACGGCTCTCCCTTGCCCTGCCTCCAATATGGCTCCATCTAAAAAGGCTAGGTTATCCAGAGTTATCTCTGTAGTTATGCTGCTATAGGCTTAGACTGCTGGAGGATACACTGACCACTTTTCACATTCTACTACTTTCTTCTACAATCTGCTCTTCAACTGTATTGTTTTCTGCAATTTCAGCTATTAACTTTATTTTTTTCTCTAAGTGTTTTTCTCCCCAGAAGAAGCTACAATGATGATGCTGAGCGGTGGTGGCCTCATGAAGGGGCCCATCGTCTAGCACACTGCTGCTAACCACTTAAACATTCTCCCTCTCCTGATAATAAATTTTTGCTTTCCTTGACGTTGGATGTGCTAATACTAGTTTATCCGTCTAACAATGGATTCACTAGGATAAATACAATAAAGTTTATCTCTCGCCAAATAGAATATGTACTAAGCAATCACAGTGTAACCATGGACACATTGCTTGGTGTGTGTGTGTGTGTGTGTGTGTGTGTGTGTGTGTGTGTGTGTGTGTGTGTGTGTGTGTGCGTGCGTGAGTGCGTGCGTGCGTGCGTGTGTGTGTGTTTGTGTGTTTGTTTGTTTGTGTGTGTGTGTGTGTGTGTGTGTGTGTGTTTGTGTGTTTGTGTGTGTGTGTGTGTGTGTGTGTGCCTGCTCTGTCTTCTCGATCCCCCGTGAGTCGTGGTGGATGGCTGCTTATACTGAGCCAGGATTCTCTGGAGGTTTCTTCCTGTTAAAAATGAGTTTTCCTCTCCACTGTCGCTATATGCTTGCTTAGTGTGAGGATTGCTGTAAAGTCACTGACACTAGTCAGTGACTTGATGCAATTTGCTGGGTTCCTTACATAGGAAACATTTTTTCTGATTGGCTTAATGAACTGACCTGGATTGGAATGGTTATTATGTGAAGTGCCTTGAGATGACTCTTGTCGTGATTTGGCGCTGTATAAATAAAATAGAATTGAATTGAACTGAATTAAATGTTGTGCAATAAACAAGGTTAAAGCTTTGTTTACCTAGGACTGAGACTTCTTATCTAATGGAGTCAGACTACATTTATGTTGAATAAAGTTGTAAAAGAAGGGTGTTTTGCATCTTTTGGAATTTAATTTGCCAATTAAATTATGTCCTGAAAGAAATGCTGCAGATTATTTTATTGATGTAATTACTAATTGAGAAAAAAAGACATTCTTAATTTAAACAAAAATCATTTTCACTTCAGTGACTGACACTCAAGGATCTAGAAAAACCTAAAATGTTTTTAATGACTAAGAAGTAGGCCACCAGATAGAATTCTGCCAATAAAATTATTCTAAAACAATTCATATGTAATTATTTTTCATATTTATTGCAAAGTATAATTTTTTAGCTGCTTTAGCGCTGCTGCAACGTTATATTAACAAAAACGTATTATACCTCGCATTTTACTACAGCATCGTTAAACCTTCCTGTGCACAGATTAAGAATGTCAACTGTGAGATTAGACAATCAGAGCAATGAAAAAAAAAGTATGTCACAGACTCCATGGAAACTTTCATAGAAACTTTCTGTGTAAAATTGGTTTTACTGCCTAGAATCAGTTAACATTTTAAGTCCTAATTGTTTCTTTTATTATGGAGAATGTAAGAATTACAAATGCTATCAATCCCTGAGTTGCTTCTTTAATTATAAAGTGAAAACACAATTTCTTAGGTTCCATCCTTTTAAATGTACTAGACTTCTAAAACTACTTAACGCTGACACTGTCACTTCAATCTTTAACACGTTTAAGAGCCAGCTGCTGAAATCAAAATAAACTGATATGTACAAGGGAGGATAAATTGTGTGCATGAACCCTTCCTGTTTCTGGCAGGCTGCAGCCATGCTTGCAGTGATCCACTTTAAAGACTGAGTGTAGAAACACTTTGAAGAAAAACTCAGCTTATAGCCAGTGTGAAATTAAATGTCAGATCTGACAGGCTGCAGAGGAACAGAGGAGCAGGAAGAGCAGTAACAAATAACTGGAAAAAATGTGCATTTATTTTTAGCTGTAAGGGCCAACGATTCAAATTCTACAATGAAATATTTCTTTCCTCCCAATGAAATAATTGTTAAGCTCATTTTTGTTCATCAGATAAAGAACGAGGAGTCATTTTACTTTAAATTGAGAAGACATCCCTGTTTCTTAAAGCCTTTGTAAATAAATTACGTTTTTAGGATAGCAGAAGGCTGTAAAGCTCCCGCGTCACTTTGAAGAAGCTCTTGAACAAAAGCACTAAGCTTGGGAATAACTACATTGCTACATCCAGTGTCTCTCTTTACACATTTTTTCTTGAGTTCCTAATGAGAGGCTGTGTGCAAAATCACGCCTCACTTTATTTGAGATGGAGATGTAATAGTTTTCAAATAATGGTGTATTAGCCTCATGTTTGTGTAGACTAATATCCTTTGTGTAGAAAGCCCCCTCAAGGAAATCACAGTTTTCTCATAGAAGTCAAATACAGGTCCTTCTAAAAAAAATTGCATATTGTGATGAAGTTCATTATTGTCTGTAATGTACTGATAAACATTAGACTTTCATATATATTAGATTCATTACACACAACTGAAGTAGTTCAAGCCTTTTATTGTTTCTAATATTGATGATTTTGGCATACAGCTCATGAAAACCCAAAATTCCTCCATGGGCTCCATGGGTGAAAGCCTGGCCACCAGGCGCTCGCCAACGTGCTCCACCTCCAGGCCTGGCTCCAGAGGGGGGCCCCGGTGACCCACATCCGGGCGAGGGAACACGGTTTCTATTTATATAATTCATCAAGAGGTCTTCGGCCTGCTCTTTGTCTGATCCCTCCCTGTTTGCATCATGTTTCCAATTTGTTGTGATGAAAAAAATGTATTAGGTTAAAGAGAAGAAAATGTAATTGTATGCATTCAGTTAATCTTGAATGCATCTGCACACAAAATCTCAGCATTTTATACTGAACACCACCACCATATCGCCTTTTTGTTTGAGGGTCTACTTGCCACATTTGCATGGTAAATTAGCTGCATGCTGGATGTCCAGTAGTTGATGATGACTCACACAGTAGTAGCAACTCCAGCCAGTATCAGTGTGGGCTGTATCTTTCATCTCCTGCAGGGCCTCAGCTCGCAGGTAGCCCAGCTCCCTCAAGCAGCCGTCGTGAAACACTCGCGTGCAGATCCTGCAGGTGTACAAGTCGTCGGCCGTCCACACCTCACAAACGTCGCACATCTCATCGCTGGGTGGCTGTCGAGGAGAGCAGAGCCAAAATTTCTAATCTCCCATTTTCATTTAGATGTTTGTTTAAAGAGGGAATCTGAAAAAAAGTAAGGCACTGGCTTGAATTTATGTAACACATTACTAACACAGTAATAATTGCCTTTTGTTCAGATGGATAATGCATGATTTCCAGCTATTCATGCAGACAAGAGTGTTTATAGCTCTTCCAAATGGCCTTGTTCAAAAGGGATGTTAAAAGCTGTGTGTCAAGAAGAGGGCAGAGAGGAATATAATTAAAATATGGCTGTAAGGTGTTTTGCCGTTACACAGAATGTCTCGGAGGGAACTCAGTGTTGGGCTTTTGGCCTAAAAAGTGAACAATTTAGAGGTCTCTGCATTTTGATATTTTTCTTTTCAGTGTACTTTACTGGGTGTGTGGGAGAGGATAGTTTGGGGGGGGGGGCTACCTGAAAAGAATCTATCTTGATCCAAATTGTGATCTAGGATGGCCGATTAATTTGTCACATGCAGGCTAACTACAACATTTTATATTGTTCATCATTTGTTTCATCAGATACAACAGCAGTTTAAACTGCTTTTGTGACTTCCCTGATCAAACTCATTGTACTTGGAATTTTTTTTAAAACTTGAACCCAGAATCAAACTTTATTAAAGTTAAAAGGAATGCAAGTAAAAAATAAATACATAAAAATGAAAAGTCGAAAAACAAAAATCTTAATCTGGATTTGTTTGACCTTTGAAGTGCTCAAGTAACCCTGCATCAGAAACTGTTGTGACTTCCTAGTCAATACATACACAAAGAGTAGAGGCCACCTTAGAAAACTCAACCCACTGAGTCACTACACCCAGAAATGTAACCTGAATGCTGGAAGACATCACAGATGGATGGGGAGTAATTTAACACAGGTTCTGTGGTTAGATTAGTACAAATCTCATCATTCTTTGAAAAAAATTTGACATTTAATTCCGGTTTCCAAAGATGAGGAATTTCCTCCATGTTGTTTTATGTCAAAAATGGAAAAGCCAACATCTGTGATTGGATACAGTGGGTGACGTGAAAATATCTTAGAATATTAATAAAGATGCATAATTAGCAGTGTCTTTAGAAACATTTTAAAGGGCTAGCCAGATGAGGCCATAGATGTTCTTGGAGTAGAACATCAGAATAAAAGCCTTAACAGTATTTTAGGAGATTTGCTAGATGTACTATATCAGGTGAAGTTTAGGTACCAGAGTCTTGCTTGCAAGTGGGCAAAGGAAGGAGTGGAAGCTGGACATGTGGAGCAGGGCACCATGTGGTTGCTGATGTGATATTGTGCTAAAATTTTGATTTTATTTTAACTGGTTCATCTCCAACCCATCATCCATGGGCTTTGGGTAATGATCTGGATAAAAGGAGACCACATTTAGTTTTCCCTACTAAGTGGTCAGCCTCAACCTTAGAGATGGGGCGAGGAGCTCGAACATCTGGGAGGGATTCAGAGTAGCATGGCTGCTGCTTTTTTTTTCAGAGAAACCTACTGAAGTCATTCAGACATTTGGCCAGGATGCCTCTGACCAAACCTAGGGTGGAGTTTTGGGCTTGTCAGATGGAGAGATGACTGTTGGGCTGAACCAGGACATGTTAAAGGAATCATATCACTTGAGTACCCTGAGAATGTCTTAGGATCCCACCAAAAAGGTGGCAGAAGAGGCTGAGGAGACGACCGTCGAGGCTTTTTAACAACTAACAAGGTAAAACTAAAAAATGCAATGTTAAAGTGCAATGTTAAGCTAAGTCCTCAATATTAAGCCCACACTCAATTCTTGTTTTTGCAGATGTTCTCCGCCTAACAGACAAAGAATGACTTGTTGAATCTCCTTTCTTTAACTCAATAAAAACATGATGCATTGCAGCCAGGAGGTCCAGTGAGGGTGCAACAAATGCATGTATGGCCATTGACTCCACTGCTGGAGGTGCCTCTTCAAATACAATAATTCATGAGATGTATTTTTACACTAAGGTAACATTTCTCTCCTCTTGAGGTTTGTGGTTATTTCGAGAAAATGGTACCCTGACCTATAAAAAAGGTTACTTCATAAATAGTGAATGTGTACCTGGCCTGCCTTGGAGCGCAGTTCTGTCTTCTGCTTTTCCCAAAGGAAAGAACCAGAGAACAACCATAACAAACTTGATCTTTTGAGAAGGAATCAAGACAATTCCTCCTTCCCACCTGTCATTCTGAGTTCTTAAACCTATGTAATTAAAGGAATGACGATGCTTCACAGTGGTACACATCACTTTCTGATTACTTGGGTATGTTGCCGGTATCAAATTCTAGTTTCTTCTAAGTTTGTATAGTTATGTAACATTTTCTTGTTCCTTCTGAATTTGTTTAACAACTTAATACATTTTGAATTAGAAAATTAACATTCAGTCCATATAAATGAAATGATTTGTATTTGGGAGTTACGAAGACACATTTTTTATCTTCTGGCATCTGCTCATTAGAAATGTTTTATTATTACTGTCAAATTACAGAAATTAATCACGTGATGTTTACTTTCTTCTAAATTAGAACCTGCTGGTGTTTCTGCTCCTGCGAACACCCTCCCCTGCTAGTTGGCTTCACCTTGGAAATAGTCACCTTTTAGACAAAGCCAAAGCAATACGCCCACAACGTGCTTGTTGTGGGAAGCACACAACAACATCAACAACATGCTGCAGGTTGTGAGACAAAAAGAAAAACGAAAAAAAATATATATATATATATCTCACTCAAACTTCCTCACCTTTTGCATTTGGCCTAGACTACTTCACAGAAAGACTGATGTGCTTCTGTTACTATAAAGATTACTAGATTTCTTCACGTTTACCTTTTCCTTATGTTTGAAAAGTTGGAACCTGCATGTGTATGTAATGAAAATGTGAGTACAATAGGTAAAGGATTAATTTATTTTTAGATGGCATGAAGTTAATGGTTGTTGGGTTTTGTGTTCTTGTTTACATTTTAGTGGATTTTTAATATGAAATATAATGGAACATTATGTTTGGGGCATTCCAGTGGAGTTCTACTGAAGTTGAAAAAACTCTAAAGCACCTTTGAATATATTATTTGTTAATAGAAAGGGTGAGCAGGTGATGCAGTCCTTGTAGGTATAAAGAGTGATGTTTCCAATAATCAACAACTTATTCTATGCTGTAGTTCTTTTTTAAAACACAGAACAGTTTTGTTACCTGTTTTCCCGCTACGTTTCGTTTGCGGATGCAAACTTCATCAGGTTGACGCTGATGGTGGCGTCACTTCCTTCTCCGTTTATCCACGCCACCATCAGCGTCAGCCTGAGAAAATTTGCAGCCGCAAACGAAACGTAGTGGGAAAACAGGTCACAGAACTGTTCTGTGTTTTAAAAAAAGAACTACAGCATGAAATTAGAAATATGACACAGCAGGAACACACCTAAGATGTTCAAAGAAAAACAACTTATTCTCCTTCCTTCTGATAGAAAATATTGACAAGTGTGCCCCAGGGCTCTGTCCTGGGGCCCCTTCTCTTCATCATTTACCTTCTACTGCTTGGTCACATTTTCTGGAAATTTAACATTCAATTCTATTGCTTTGCAGATGACACCCAGCTTGTACAGCAGGATTTCCCCCAGCGCTTTATAGGCCTGGCGGCCCACCAGGCTTATACCTCATTTTCTGGGGGAAACCCTGTACAGTGACAATGAATTCCATGAAAAGTGCTTTTAAATAAAATGTATTATTATTATTATTATTATTATTATTATTATTATATACACTCACTGGCCACTTTAATGGGTATACCATGATACCACCGAGCTGGACCTCATTTTGCCTTCAGAACTGCCTTAAGATTTGTCGGCTGCACATCCATGATGCAAATCTTCCGTTCTACCACATCCCAAAGGTGCTCCACTGGGTTGAGATCTGGTGACTGTGGAGGCCGTTTGAGTACAGTGAACTCATTGTCATGTTCAAGAAACCAGCCTGAGATTATTGGAGCTTTATGGCATGATGCATTATCCTGCTGGAAGTAGTCATCAGAAGATGGGTACACTGTGGTCATAAAGGGATGGATATGTTCAGCAACAATACTCAGGTAGGCTGTGGCATTGCAACGATGATCAATTAGTACTAAAGGGGCCAAAGTGTGCCAAGAAAATGTCCCCCAAACCATTACCCCACCACCAGCAGCCTGACCCGTTGATACAAGGCAGGATGGATCCATGCTTTCATGCTGTTGACACCAAATTCTGACCTTACCATCCGATTGTCGCAGGAGAAATCAAGGCTCATCAGACCAGGCAATATTTTTCCAATCTTCTATTGTCCAATTTTGGTGAGCATGTGTAAATTGTAGCCTCAGTTCCTTGTTCTTAGCTGACAGGAGTGTCACCTGGTGTGGTCTTCTGCTGTTGCAACCCATTTGCCTCAAGGTTCAACGTCTTGTGTGGTCAGAGACACCCCTCTGCATACCTTGGTTGTAACGAGGGGTTATATGGCTTCCTTTCTATCAACTCAAACCAGTCTGGCCATTCTCCTCTAACCTCTGGCATCAAGGCATTTTTGCCCTCAGAACTGTTGCTCACTGGATGTTTTCCATTTTTTGGACCATTCTCTGTAAACCCTAGAGATGATTGTGCGTGACAATCCCAGAAGATCAGCAGTTTTTGAAATAGTCAGACGAACCCGTCTGGAACCAACAACCATGCCATGTTTATTTTTCACATTCTGCAGCTCGGTTTGAACTGCAGTGAATTGTCTTGACAATGTTATTGGCTGATTAGTAATTTGCATTGACACACAGTTGGACAGGTTTACCCAATAAAGTGGCCAGTTAGTGTAGCTCCAGTGCATTAAGAAGAGCCCAAGTGTTCCCACTGGCAATCATTTAACTGAAATCAGATTGGCTGATTCACGAGCTCAACTCTTGATTACAAACAGTTTGTTTTGCTCTTTTACGCGCCAAGTTAAATGCAAATTTCTTTTTATTGCATTTTTTTTATTGTAAACAAGTAAAACACATGCATTTTAAGGATTCCATGGTTAGGTCAAAACCCCAGAAATGACCTGTGTGGAACCGATTTAGCCCTTCAGAGAATAAGTGATCTTATGTGATCACTTGTGCTTAAGTCAGGCATGTTCAAAGAGCGGCTCGGGGACCATTTGTAGCCCTCAAAGTGATTTTGTTCGATGAATTGTCTCTCTATTGCAGTAATATTTTTAATGTTCACATTTTTACTAAAATGCTTTTTTTTTGGAGCTTTTTTGAGCAGTACACATGGGAAAAAATTACCAAAAATTATTTTTGTGCATAATATTATAAAGGAAAATTACATTTTTGTGACCAGCAAGGACCTCTAATGTGACAATTTGGCCTTTGTTTAGAAAATTTGGGGCAACCTTAAATCCTAAACCATAAATTCAAAAATAGAAGGAGACAGGAGGCTGAAAAATGTTAAAAATTAAATAAATTTAAAAAGAAAATGATAACAAAAGTGAAAATTTTAGAAAATCAGAACAAAATTGCTCGAGAATAGCACTGGACAGATCAGATCATAAATACAGTAAACTAAAATAAAATAAAAACTCATTTGAAAGCAGAGTTTATTAAACAACAAGTTAGTTGTTTCTCATTATGCAATACCTGCTCTTTCTTTTCCAGCTCAATCTCAATTGGCTGATCATCATCAGGTTCCCTTTTTGGTCGCACAAAAGCAGGAGGAGTAAGCTGATGAGTTTTGTCTAATTCCTCTGGCTCTACTCCCTTTCCGTCCCGTAACCTTGACCAAGCCTCCTGGTTGACTTTACATTCATCCCTGACTGGAGCCGAGGCCTGTTGGGAGGTCGACGGGCCGGCGTGATTGTCAGTCTCCTCCTGTTTCTCCTCATCTGTGTTTTTCTCATCAGTGCTGACTGATGTTTTGGCAGGAGCTTCATGTTCCTCTGCATCCCCTTCAGTAGGTTTAGCAGCACGTTCTTTAAGTCCCGCTTGAAAGGCAGAGACGACGGCGCTGCATTTCTGCACCTTCTCCACCTGCTGTTTCTTTGACATAAGCACTCCCATGGCTGCAGACAGACAAAAAGAGAAAGAAGCACAACATTTGTTAATAATGTTTCATAGCTATCGTTTCCACTGAGACATCTGACTCACAGCTCTGGTAACACTCGCAAACAAGCCAATCTGATTTCAGTTAAATGAGGCTACAATGTGGCTAGAAACAAATTATATCCAGTTTTCTTACTCTAAGCAACTTTTACCTACTTTAAACTACTGATGTTTCTGCTTGTGATGGAAACATGTTGAGTATCATGGACAGAATAGTTGGAGATGGTTCCAGCAAAGGTCTGAGGAACACTGTGTCTGAACACTCAAAACAAGCAGATTGACAACAGCAGCAGAAGACCACACCTGGTGCTACCACAGACCACATGAGTATTGTTGCTATGTCCATGCCTTTAAGACCACAGTGGGCCCATCTAATGGCCACTTCCATCAGGACTATGCACCATGTCACCAAGTTCATCTCAAACTGTTTTCTTGAAGACAACAGTGAGTTCACTGGACTCCAACAGCCTCCACGATCACATAATTTCAATCCAGTCCAAATTCTTTGGGATATTTTAGAAGTGGCTGAAAATTCTGCAGCAACTGTGTGATACTGTAGTGTCAATGTGGACTTACTCTGAAGAATGTTTCCAATGGATTGTCCAATGACACCCAAAGTATCAGGGCAGTTTTGTAGGCAAAAGGGAGGTTCACCCCAGGGTCTAAAGGGCTGGTATCCAGCACATTTTAGTTTTAACTGTTTCAACACACCTTTCAATTTCAATTAGCAGGGGCCTCATTTATCAAGCTTGCTTACGCACAAAACAGGGTCGGAAAACTGCGTAAGCAACTTTCCATGCAAACTTTGGGATTTATGAAAGAAAACTTAGCGGAAAAATGTGCGCAACTTTAAGTTGACTAAGGACCTTGCTTACGCACATTTTTGACATGGAGAGCACCCGCAGTGCTGCTGCTGAAAAGGATAAAATTATGAAATCCTGCAGCATTATCACTTGTAACGCTTCGTTTTCACACAGAACAAGACCCCCCACATGCACACACACAAGCACACACACACACACACACACACACACACACACACACACACACACACACACACACACACACACACACACATGCACGCACACACACACACAGCCTGAAGCGCAGAATACGGAATGCAGAATATCAGCAGGGGGACAGATTGAGACAGCATGTCATGCGTCTGTGACAGTGTGAGTGTCCTGTCGCTGTAACCTGATTGATCATGTGCCCTGGCTGCTCAAACAAGGGAGATCTCCGTTTGGGTGACTGGTTAGCGTAAGTGACTTTCACCTAGGAGTCTGGGGATTGAATCCTGATCAGATCTTTTTTTTTATCCGCCACAGATCTCTCTGAAGAACTCAGCATTGACGGCTTCAGCAACACTGTGCCACTCCGTGGATTTTCTCTTATTTGTTTTGCAAAAGCACTTCCTTTCATTTCTCCACCTCACCCACAGGTACCTCAATTTCTGCTTCTGTGAAATTGCGCTTCCTTGATCTGCCTTGATCTACGGTCGCCATGTCATAGGTGGAGCGCTGCAACAGCCGGCTTATGTATATGCATGAGATCCATAAGGCATTTTGCATTGACTATTTATGGTAGTAAGTGGGCGTGGTGAGGGCGGGATGTGACTAAAACGCAGCTGAGAAACATTCTCGTTAGTCTCTGATTTATGAAGCGGAGATTGCGTGCAGCTGTGCGTACTCCATGTTTGATAGATCACAAACCTACTTGGCACATTTTTTTACTGAGCTACCATTTTAGTAAGGATTCTATGCAATGTTTGATAAATGAGACCCCAGGTGATTAACAGGTTTCTTTAGAGTCTGATGAGCTGTTGCACAGGTGATTTAACCACTGAATCAAGTGTGTTGGGGCAGAGAAACCACTAAAACACGCTGGATACCAGACCTCCAGGACCAGAATTGAATACCCCTGGTCTATTAGCTTAAGTGGCTGAGGAGGAGACCATCAACATTACTTTTTAAATTTATGAAAACATGTCAGCTTGACAAAACAAAATGAACTATTTTTTTTTGTTAGTTCACCAATCACTGGTTTCTGTATATGTCCAGGGTAGGATGGGTCAGCCACAATCTTTCATGTCCAACTTAAGCTTCTGAAGGTGTACTGGTCTTGTAGGGAGATTGCAGTCAACCACCTTCTCTGCAGACCACATGACACGCTAGAGCCTCTTTTTGTCTTAGACAGTGGCGGTGGTGTGCCAGGTAAAGATGGATGAGTCATTTCCACTGGCAAGTTGAATTTGCTGTAACAACCTTTGCTTTGCTTTTGCGACAAGAGAGCTGGGGTCATCAGAGATGATGGTTCCCAGGAAGCTGCAGGATTCTACAGTATCTACTGGATTTGAATGGAAGATGGGAGCAAGAGGGCCTGGGGTCTTTCTCAAGTCAGTAATCATCTCCACTCTTTTGACAGCATTTAGCTCTGCAGTCTGCAGCAGGTTGTCAATCTGACATCTGTAGTCTGACTCATACTGAACACCTGTTTGCTGGTTTTCTAGCAAATATGGCTCAGTTTTTCCTAAAGCTGATACAACATACTGCAATATCCCTAAAATCCTTTGCTAATGTTGCCCTATTTCTAACATTTGCCTGAAAAGATCCAGTGAGATGAACACTTTTCTTCATTAGGTTCATCTCAACGGGTTCATCTCACCACACAGACTTCTCTCTCCCTACAGGACCCACACTGTTCCTGTCACATCTCAGTTGTAAGCATAACCCCCCCCCCCCCCCTCCACACACACACACACACACACACACCACACACATGCTCCCACTCCAACTGTCTATTTCCAGCAGTAAGGTGAAAAAGCAGCTGGAGCCGCAAAACTAGGTTGCTGATCCAGATGTTTCCATCCCCATGCTAGTGAACCCCTGCACTGCTGCGGACGATTCTGCAGCCAGTCTTTAAACTCATTCTGATTCACAGAAATAATTCAAGAGTTATGGGTGGTAATCTCTATTCTTTTGGAGACAAAAATCCTTAAAACAACAATAGAACTATTGTAGCATCCTAAAGCATTACATTTTTGAAGAAAGTGTTGAATGTAAGCACCATTCAGGCTCCACTGCCGTTTCTCCCCTTAGAGACAGAAGAAGTGTGATACGTTAATAACCATTTTTTTTTTTTTTTTTTTTTACCAACCCATCAGACTGCAGTTTGAGGAACTTGGGTTTTACTCGTTTCAGCAGGTGGCCAGAGTACTAAAAATTATTGTTCCCTCAGTTTTACTACAGGAGAAATGTCCAGGCGTGTCATCCACAGAGCTGTAGCGAGACAAAGTGGAGGACTACAGATACCAGGGTGTTCACTTAAGCAACAGATGTTGCATATTTTCTTCTGTGGTTAAAATATCTGTTGGAACTGAAGCATTTATAGAAAAAGAACAAATAGATAAAGAAGACAGGTGCTGCACAGGGACTAATGTGGTGAAAAGAGAAACCCAAACTGTAAAGGATGTGCGTTACGACAGCGGCTCGCTTTACGGTATCTTTACGACAGTCAGGAAGAGTTTGTGTGTGTGTTAGAGGTGAGAGCATGCAGAGGAGACGCAGCATGTTTTAATGGATAAATTCAAGCTTGTTAGAGAGCAAACTCTCTTCATTCATTTAAGATATGTTGCAAAACCATCACATGGTGTCAGAAGTGGTGGAGTATGGCAAAGTTTCAGCCACCGGAGAGTTTTTGCTCCGAGAAGCCTGCAGAATGGCCGGAGTGGAGGAAGCACTTCCCCCGATACAGAATATCAACGAAACTGGACAAAGAGGACAGCCCGGTTCAAGTAAGCACGCTGGTTTGTGCCCTCGGAAGGGAAGCTGAAAACATTATGAGCTCCTTTACATTTGCTAGCAGTGAAGAGGAAGCTGATTACGAAGCAGTGATGGCTAAATTTGATTCATAATTCATCCCGAGACGTAACATCATCCACGAATGCGCCTGCTTTAATCAACGAGTGCAGCACCAGGGAGAACGAGTGGAGATGTTTATTCGGGCACTTCATGGACTCTCAGAGCATTGTGACTTTGGACCGAAGCGAGAAGAGCACATAAGGGACCGAATCGTCGTGACGATTCTGGACAGGGATCTGTCACAGAAACTGCAGCGGCGGTGGGCGGGGGAGCCTGCTCATCAGCACCCCAGCAGAAAGGGTCAAACTCTGGTAACCGGTGGTGGTTGTACCCCATGTGCAGCATTACCGGGACCAGAGTGAATAGGGTGTGTATGGGGAGCATGAATGGGTGTCCGGCGTGTATTTTTGTAAGTCTTTGGTTGTATGTGCATGTGTGAGCATGAGGGAGGGAGTGTGTGACTGTGTTTGTGTATGACTGTATATGTCAGGTGGGGCCTTTGACTCCTCCCTTCTCCTGGGACTTCCTTTGATGATATAGATCTTCGTCTCCCCTCCCCCCTGTCACACCTGGTGTGGGTGTGATGCCTTGGTCTGCCTGAGTGTTCGTGGCTCCCGGGTCAGGGAGTTTAAGATTTTTGGCATCTGCCTGATCAATCCCGGTGGCGGCCTGGGGGGGTCTGGGTCCCTGGGCTCTGCTGGGTCCCCGGCGGGGGTGGTCGCCCCTGGGTCCCGGGTCGCTGGGTCCCGGACTCGGCCGGCTAGGGGGTGGGAGGCTGCGGGCAGGCCTGAGGACTTGCCGCTGATATCTCCCGGGGCTCTGCCGGCTGCTGGTTGTGGCCCCCCGGGGCGATCCTCTGTGCCTCTCGAGGGGGGTGGGGGCCTTTCTGGTTGCGGGCTCCTTGGGGTTCCTGTGTTCTGGGGCAGCGCCTGGATCTCTGGGACTTGGAGCTCCCCCCCGTCTCCTACGCGTCTTTGGGGGGCAGATCTGTGGTCCCTCACACTCTCTATTGGACGCTCCTATAGATAAACCTTACATATACAAGCGCGTGTACACACACAGGTGCCCACATGGTGCTCTCATAAGTATGGGCTTGGGCA